ACTAATTGTGTAACACGAGGAAGTATGAAATTATTTCGATACTATTTTTCCATAAGTTTGAGTTAGCTGCACATCATTTGGTTCAAGTTAGCACTGTTGTGTTAACATCCCAAGTCTACACAATTTATTTGTCTGTAGCAGTTGAAGCCCTTCATCGCTTTTTTGGTCTTTTGCTGACGAGTTTGAAAGATGGATGAAGGATAGATGGCTCTCCCCACTCGATATTTTTGCTACCAACTTGGACCTGAGTAGTTGCCATCTTGGATTTCAACGGTCCGAGAAGGCATTGGAAACGATTCGAACATTACTGAAATTTTTACAAGTTAAAAAATTCACGATTTTCCTGACTTTAGTCGGGAATGATGGAAACTCCATTTTGCTTGAAATCAGTGGCCCAAACTTAAGGAAAAGAGTGGCTTTTATCGTGAGTATTTCTAACACTGTTCTCGCACATGAAACTCTAAACACGACATAAAGTAAAAGACAGGAGCCCATGACCATGGGCTCCTGGTAAAGTACATTCTCCAAGTAATGTGCTCTTTCAGGTACACATTTTGGTACTGCATTTCACTGATTTGTTCAGTATTGTACCATTTAAAACAAGAACTCCATAGGAGATCTTTATCTATTTAAAATTCACTTATTAAAAACAAAAAATAAAACTTTCTTACACGTGTTTTGAACTATTTATAACCGACTGTATACCTCACCTCGTGAACCGAAGAGCTGGAAGCATGTTCCGCGAAACTTAAGACTAAATTAAGATTTTCCATTCAAGATTTGCCTACATTGCAGTTTTGTTTAAAAAAGAAAAAAGTATTTGCCGCACTTTGTTTTGTCAGCGCAACCTTCAGAAAGCTTCACCTCACGAATAAACTGTAAACCTTTTCCCCTCACTAAAAATCAATTAGCTGCGTTTGGTTAAAATGTTTTCGTTTGCGTGTTATATACGCAGGAACTTTACTAGAAAGTGATCGATCTACCAGGAATTTTTAGGGAATAAAAAAAACTGGAGATTGCAATACGAATGTTTTCAGTCCAATACTTTGTTTAACAAAAACAATATATTTCAAAAAATTTAAGGAGTTGCCCATCACTCTTAGTAACGAATTGTTTGCAAAACAAAAGGAAGTAAAGCAACACAAAATTTGAAGGTGAAGTCAAGGAGGGAAAATTCGAACAATTTTGTGTAAGTACCACTTTGTTGTTTTTGCGTCGAAAAAGATTACCCAACCAGGCGTGAAATTAAATTTTGTTTCAACTGGTTTCGTTAAAAACCAGATCCGATATTTTCTGCCAATTATTCTCTACAGCAGGTCAAATATTTCTGTAACGACGTAATATAATAAATTCTGGGTTTTCACTGGCACCATTGCAAGGGAATGATTCATTAAAGCTGAAACAATGCACATCTTGTTAAAAATTTGAAAGCGGATATATCAGAACCACATTGGCGCGTATGAGTAACAAGGTCATGTTAGTCCAACATCTCCCTCGAGAGTTTTTTCCGGAAATCTAAACAACAAAGGTTTGCGGTGGAATTAGAATTACTATAAATATCTAAACAGTGCATTAGATGCCATCGTTGCGGTTTCCTCGCAAAAGACCACGAGATTTTTGTACACTTGTTCGAGAGGCCAGCTGTTTTAGTGTCTTAAAATATTTTGCATGAGAAAAGATTATCTGATAAACAATTAAGAATAATGGATTTTTAAATCTAACTGACTGGTAGTCATTTTCACTCGCATAGCTACCTGCAAGAGCGAAAAGGTTTTTGACAATTATTATAATAGCAGAGTCCGTTTGAACAATCCGTAGGCAGTTCAAAGGCTTCGACCGCAAAAATGTACGCTCTGAAAGCTCCCACACACAATTTATATTTGTCTTGAAAAAGGTTAAATCTTAACCGGAAGCATACAAGGGATGTTTTATCCCAAATATCTTGTCATGCAAATAAACTCCCTGCCTTGCCCTGTCACGTTTGTTGTTACACTATTGTTCTGGGCATGCCCAGTCAAGCGCGGCCATCCGGCCATGCAAAATTTATTCAAACAACAAAAAAACTCCTCGCAGCCCAGTCACAAAGTGCAGCCGTCGTGAGAGCAGGTAGTTTTGTAGCAGTAGACGATCAGACCAACTGTCGTCTTTGGTGAAACTTAAGAGGATTCACTGCAAAGACATGCCGGGATATCGGGCCTTTTTCGTTCCAGCGGTGAGCGAAAATTTATTATGCCGAATTTGTCATCTGCCTGTGCGAAACGCCGTTCAGGTGTCCGTTTGTGGACATCGATTTTGCGATTCTTGTCTCAATGGAGCATTCAGTAACACGAGGTAAGCAAAGACTGTTAATTTTCTTTTTGATCCTTGTCTCATTGATGCACTAAACGTAGGCTTAAGCAGGTGAACTTCTGCGGCAAGATCGGAAGTCTCGTTTTGTGACACTTCTGGAAGATTTGAAATGTCGCCACCGACAGCAAATTTGTCGATTTTTATGAGATTTATTTTGGCGATCGGCTCATATTTTTGCTTAGTTTCTTCTGCCAAGTGTGCTGTCTTTTACTTTCGGTGCCGTTCGTTCATTGTACAGGAAATTGTGTTTTCCTCGTGAACCGAATTTTGAAAAAAAATTGATAGAATGTGCAAATATTTTTACAAGCAATTTTATATCACTCAGGCTTCGCAGAGGGGTTCCCAGTAAAACATGCTCGTTTGTCTTAATTTTTCACGTAACGACATGCCCGTATTTATACACGAATCGATGATCGAGGAACGTTCTTGCACGACAGTTCGAAGTGAAAAGTAGCAATATGTGGCTTCTTGAACGAGTGTTGACTTGGAACATCGGCAGTTTTTGGACGGTTACAGCTGCGATCGTTAAATACAAAGGACCTATTCACGACTTGTAAACATTCATTGTGTATAATTTTTCGAGACAGAGACCAAAAATTAGTGAACTTGCTTTACAAAGACCGCTAAATATACGAGAGAATATTTCAAGCAGTTAAATTAATGCAGGGAACGATCTTTAACAATACCGTTCACATGTTGTTTTACAAGCGCATATCCCCTCGAATCGATTTAATATTCGCTCGATTTGGAATGCTGCGAGAAATATTCTCGATTGTTTTAAGACTTCTGTAAACAATTTTACGTTTCTAGAATATTTTTGAAACTGAAACGCCAGCTAAGTCATTTTCCGTGTCTTCAACTTTGACAGTGAACTTCGATTTCGAAGCATTATGTCTTCAAGGAGCTGAACTGTTACCGACAAAGTCACGAGATTCTCACTCTCCATTTAACCTGTTTTGTACAAAATTAGTACCGAAATTGAGAAGCTTTTAATACGTAAGAGGTTTACCCATTCAATATTTCTGACAGACAGAACGGTACTTGTTGTTATGACAGTAATAGTTGTCGAGAAGAATTTCCTTTCGCGAATGTACCAACTAGGGAAATATCTTAGATTGTTTAATCTTTTTTGCATCAGTGTTTTTCCAAAGTTTACATTCCACACCGTAGGCTGGTTGGCAACTTTTGTATTGTCACTTTTGGTGTAGAAACGAGAATTCGAAAGGTTTTTGATAGTGGGATTTTCATTAAAACCTCTGCCCAGGAAATTACGTATTTCGTTTTGTTTGTTGTTAGGTCGAGGGTTACAGAAAATCCCTTGCTTCCGATCTGCTGTGGGACCGATCAGCCTTTGTGATTCATGTGTTTGGTGACTCGTGTGTTAAAAATTTGGGAACTAATCCAGCAGGTCGAAAAGGTGGATTTTTTAAAACCCGATTTATTTTAAAAAAAAGCTGATGACTCTAAGAGGAGATATCATGGACATGTACCAGATTTTCATAGGATGAGCACTTGGAGTGAGTTAGGCGATTGTAACATTCTAGAATATAAAAGATTATTGAGATCAATAACGGTTACAATAACATATGCATGCTAATTACACGAGCTTCGCTTTGGAAATGTGGTTTGTCGGACCAAACGATATTGTACACAAAAAAATAACCTGTTGTCCACTCGGGCGGAAAGAGGAAAATTATCTCTCGCAGCCAGGAGGTATTTCACACCTTATCCTACAAATTGTAAAAAAGGTAAATTTTAATTAGCAAGAAAGCCTCAATTCTTTGCAATGTTTACACAAAGAAATGCCATCTTGTCATATTTCATTTGGGCGGTGAGTCATACACCCCGAGGTACTTAAGCGAGAGAAAGAGAAACGTGCGTGACATTGTGTGAAATCGACCTGATACGACGTTTGATTGTGGCTGTAATTGACAACTTTTCTGTTTTGAATATCTCGGTGACAAAGTCTGTGCCAAACTAATAGTTGAATCAACACTGAAGCTTGCTTTGAGTTTGCGAATGTCATGTTTAGCTGTTCTACACAATATTCAACACATACAAGCGTTTTACAGAGTAAACGAACAAATGGCATCGAGTAAATACAAAACTTCCAACCGGAATTAAGCATATTTCTTTGCGTGCCGTCGTCTCGTAGAATCTTACCTTGCGTGAGCAATTAAACTGAAAAACTGCGATTAACCTTTAAGGAATTCGCGATAATGGTTATCTTGGCTTTTCGTTGCGTGATCTATTGTTGTGTGTGCCAAAAATTGGGTTTGAATTGTTAAAATTGAGAAAAACCTTTTCGGGAAAATTCCCGCTTCGCTTGAATCATACATAGCTTTGTTTGCTCAATGGTTTACTTTTGACGTTGTCGGCTCCAGTGCTTTTTTCAAAACCGCGCTAATTTGCATTAAGAGATCTCGGAAAATTTTAATTTTGGCATGTTTAATTTTCTCCTCTGTGGTTTTAGCTTACGGGAATAAACAACGTTTGAAGTCCTGGGATGTTTGAAGAAGAAATATTTCTTAATACTTAAAAGGGAATTTGAAGATTGTACATGTCTGCAAAGGCCTTGGGAAACAACTTTAAAAAAAAAAAAAACATGGTTGGGTATTTTTATCCTCAAAAACCAAAGTGCAGTATTTGAATCGATATAGGATTTCTGTCTCTTTATATTGCTTTTTTAAATGCTAATGCTGCTTATATTTTGTCTTGGTTTTGCTTGTACTTGAAGTGGCATAATAAATAGGTTCTGTTAAGGAGTCATGATGAAGCCTCGTTGAAATGGGAGTGATGTTATGACTAAAAATACAATACACTCGGCAGGGTGATAGCTAATTGATATGGTAATTTATACCACACAATATTTTAAAAGAGAAATGAAATTAGGCTTTTTGCGGTTAACAGGGAAAAGATAAGCGAATCTGTGCTCGAATTGGATCGAGCAAAGCTGCTGGTGTTTGTTGTTTCGTTTTTAAACAATAATGTTCTGACATTTATACCGCTGTCTTGGCACTTTGTCAGCTTTTGACGGAAGTACACAAACTGAGAAACATTTTTGCGGAAAACAGTTGTCAAAATAAATTTTCGCGGCGTTTTGTTGACGTTGCATTCCAAGGATCGGATTTGGGACAAAATCCCGCGGTACAAAATAAGCTAATTAGATCAGTGGTGAACGGTTGAGTTCTTTGCTTTTATTTCTAAGTATTCATAATTATCTGGTGACGCCCAGTTTTCATTTGTCAAAAGAAAAATGATATGCTGAAAAGTCCGTCAATATCGCGTCGAGTGAAAATGCCTGTCAACTGCTTATCAGCCAGAAGCTGTAATGATGATGTTTGGTGAAGCGGCGAGTAGTCGACAAGTTCTCGCCTTTAATTGCAAACGGATCGCTTTGCAAACGTAGTTAATCAAATGCCTCGTCTTTATATTTGGATCGTTCCACCTTCCAGGCAAACGGCCCGGCTGCGATGTCCGGTTGATAGCTCCAGCATCGATTTGTCCCAGGTAAGGACTTGCTTATTTCAATAGTAGTATACTGCTTTAGAATGGTTTCCTACTGCCTGCTAAAATCGCATATGTTGCGGCGGTTTTTAGAGTAAATGGAATGTTTATGGCGGCATTGATTGTTAAATAATAGCCGCTTTGACTTGTATGCCGCTAAAATCAACGATATACGAGAAGTACAAACGAAAACAACACTGCTGAGACTCCTGGAGACAGACAAACATGTCTGTTACATTCAAAGGTTTGTAAGCGTGCATTAGTCGTTCGTGTGCGTGCTGTTGTTAACAAAAAAATAAACTTACAACATACACTTCCTTGAGAACTAAGGACATGAAGTTCAAGGAAATCGAGGAATTGTGGACGCAAGATTTTCGCCTTTGGCAATTTCATTTCATTTTAGCTTGGCCAACTGTATCAATAGTTTTCCTGTTCGTGAGAACGAGGGAGCGAAATGCAAATCAAGATTCAGCTTTCTTTGTGACATCAAAGGTTAGCGCCTCGATAAACATCTCAGTGGTGAAAACAGCACTGTTTTAAAGGTCGTTTTGCCGACGCTTCAACTCGCCTGGATTTATTCTTTATGGAATGATGTATCGGCTTTTGTGTCTGTCTGCGGGGTTTTATAATGGGGTACATTATGGGGGCTTAGTGCCCTGGCGCCCTGGTTATTGATCCCGCTGAAGATTAAAGCGGAATTTCTAGTGGCGTTTTACCAGTTCTTGTCGCATACTATCCAATAATTTGAGAGCTATAGTTAAGTATTCTGCGACTCAAGCCAACTAGATGTGATCGTGACCCCATGGCAACTTTAATTTGCGGGATGCTAAATTGGCTGCACCACCCGTGTAGATCAAGAACAAATTTAGTTATTCACCCCGCAGGCTACGAGCCACCCACCAAGGTTTTACGAAAATCGGTCTAAACATCCTGGTCATGAAAGACCGCGTTATATATCACTCGCAGATACGTTTAAGCAGAAATATAATAGTAACTTTGTATTAGAAGATTGTGTTGTTCTGTTTATATCTTGCAAACGCGCGCAGAGACTAGACTGGATTCAAATTCGTTCTCCGGGTCTTTTTCTTCTTTCATTGAAGAAGGATCCCACGGAACGAGTGGAGACAGTGTGTGGGAAATATTAAAACTGTGAAGAAAAGTCAAAGGAGCCACGTCACGGTTTGCGCATCTTGATAAGTTTAGCCTAAATTTTTCAAGTTTGTCGTTTGTAATCCGTGTTAATCTTCTCCATCCTAAACCATCCTTGTTCCTTTATGGTTTAACGTATTATTGCTCTTTGGTGTTTTTTTTTTATCGTATTAAACTACTATTTTCAGGTTTCCTTCAATTTAAAGGTAATTTTGTACACGGCCAAAACAACTCAAAATACCGTGACTGAGCTCCTTTGAGTTAGCTTGTCACAGACAAGCATATGTCTTTCTTTCTTTCATACTGCGTCTGTCTGATTCCTTGTTGTGTTGTGTGACAGATTTACGCAGATGACGTGACAAATCAGATGATATTTTCACTGAATGTTTATTGCGATCATTACCAACTGGGCTGTAAATGGAAGGGACAGCTGAAGAAACTGGAGGTATGTTAGAAACCATTGATAACGTTTTCATTAGGCAGGGAGAAGCACTTTAGCCTCCCCCCCCCTCCAACCCCTAGGTGCGTAACTTTCGTAAGTACGCGTAGAGCGCGCTCTCCTCAAAATGAAGCGGTAGAAGGCCGCGTTCGAGCCTGGTGGCCCGTCCGGGCGGCAGGGTTATTCCCGGGCCTCTTATTAGCATTTCGAGACTAAGAGTATTTCTAATCCCCCCTGGATGAGATGCATCGTAGGGTGCCAACCAGTATTAAATTGGTGCATTCTACCCGTGTCGATGAGGAAGGAACTGTGAGGGCATAGTGTTTTAGTTTGACCAAGAACACAACTAAATAACTCCAGCCCAAGCTTGATGCCGGACAGTTCGATATGAAGTCCAGCGCGCTAAGCATTAAGTCACCACACCTTTCTCCCCTAAGCGGGTAAGGGTCGCCTCTCTTATCCCTTCCACGTTTTAGGACTGTTACACAGGCTACGGGAAAGGAGCTTCCTGCTATAATTAGACAATTGGCCTAACCCCTTCAAGCCATTCTCGATACGGAAACGCCAAACTGGTAATAATCAACAATCGGATGGTTTAGAATAGAAGATTAGAGGGAATTCGAACGGATAATCTTTTAGGACTTAACGTTAAGAAAAGCACTCGTCAAAGCCGTTTTATATAATGATAGGAACTGAGATAGAGTTTCTCGGGGTGTGACAAGATTGCGTTACTCTATCATCTTTTAGGATCACATGGCCAATTGCAAGTACGCGATGGTGGATTGCATTGCGGGGTGTGGTCAGAAAGTTCAGCGAAGAAAGATCACGGACCATGTCAAGAAAGATTGCGTCAAGCGATGGATGAAATGTCCTCGCTGCAAGAAGGAAACGACATTTGAGAAGCTGCAGGTGAGAGGAATTACTTGTTAATCGTAACTCTACTATTTGGCTCCATTCTCAACTAAGCCCCACCCCCGCTTTTCTACTTGAAATTTATTAAGTCCCACTTTTTAACCCCCCTCCCCCCACCCTCTCCCTGACCTCTTTTCCTTCTGAAACAAAGAGTAAACGGCAGCCTGATGCTACCGTGCCAATCCAGGTGCGAAGTCATATAAAGTACTAAACCACTTACGTTACGTTTAGAACCATAACTGTCCAGCGACAAGGAGGAACCCGGATCAAGAAGTGGTGACGTGTAGCAATGGTTGCGGGGCTAGAATGAAACGACAGGACATGCCGCTGCACCTGAGGAACGAGTGTTCGCATCGATGGGTCTACTGCGAATACTGCTCGGTAGAGATTGTCTTCAAAGACAAACAGGTTAGTTTGTGATACTCTCACTCACACTGGGAAATTTGAATCACTCATGAACGGTTTCAGCCTTAGAATTTCCTGGATGGGATTTTTGATAATTGCCTCAGAAAAACAAAATTTTACACAGAATTTTTTTAAAGATTTTTTCTTTACGTCCAAATTTTCTTTCAGCAAAGAGGACCGCAATGTTTATATATTCTTAGTTTTACGGCGACACGTTTACAGTTGAACCCCGTTATTTCGAACTCTCAGGGGCAACGAAAAGATGGTTCGAAATATCGGAAGTTCAAAATAACCGATAGTAAATGACTGAAAGACAAATGCAAGGGAAATGGTTTTGAGCTCGAAAAAATGGAGAATGAAAAATAATCGAGTTCGAATTAGCGGGGTCTAACATAGTTCCTCTCTGTTATAGGAACACTTAAGGCGTTGTCGGCGTTCGGTGTCGCAAACTGATGAACCAGGCATAACAAGAGGCGGGAAGCGCCAGAGCATGCCCCATTCAGTGCGCTTCGACCCACGAGGCCTGCGCGGCGGTAACCGTAGCAACAGCACGTCGCAGGAAGTCCTCGCTCCCAGCAGTCCCGCACCACCCATGCGCTCCGCCTCGTTTCCAGCCTTCCTCAACTACGTTGGCCGCGAGGAAGTTGCAAGCGAAGTGGTGTATCGCGACTCGGAGCGAACCAGAGCGAACACCACGAGTCAAATGGAGGATGAAAGAGAGACGGACATTTTCACGTGCACGTGTGGACAGAGAATATCACGTGGTCAAATCACAAGCCACATGTCAGAGGAATGTCCAAGGAGATTGACTAAATGTCAGTATTGCCGCGCGCAAGTCAAGTTTGAAGATATGCAGGTAGGTTTTTGTAATATTTATTTAACGTTCATTTACGAAAGTACGTTATACTCTCAGATATTCCTCAGTTTTTTGTTTCGTAAAAGCTCTTTTATTCCAGCATTTTTCCCTCGGAGTGTTTTCAACTCTTGATAAAGGGCCTCCAAACAAACCGCTTTTAGTCTCACAATGAGGTTAATCGACCAACATCCTTGACGTCTTTCTAACCTCCCCAGCAACTCACCCGTCTTTGTGTTATACCAGAGTATGAAGTTTAGAGTTTGTTTTTCATTATTTTTTCCAGAGCCATCTTCAAGTGTGCCGTCGATTTCCTCTGAGCTGTCCAAACAGCTGTGGTGTATCTCAAATACCGCGAGAAGAGGTTAGCAGCGTTATATTCCAATAGAAAATTGTTCCAGGGACGCACTCCTCAGCGCCAGTTTCTGTAACATGAAGAGACTAGAAGCATTGGCACTGTACTCTCCCTGACGGGATGCTCGTCAATAGGCCATGTTCGTATTCTCGGTACTGGACTGGAACTAGCTTGCAGTGGAGGCTCATGCGGAGGAATGTCATTAAAAAGAGATTAATGTCATTTGCATTTGAAAAGACTCTCCACATTAGCCTCATTTGCAAGCTAGTTCCAGTCCAATACCGAGAATATGTAAAGGGTGTACTACCTGTTATTACGGCCAACTTCGTTCCCAGGGTCTCTCTGGCAACAAGGTTGTATTATACCTGTGGCCTGGCAGTGTCGTTACATTGCCACTCAACCCCACTGCTCTTGTAAAGTAATTTATCAATCTGCGGTTTTTTTTAATTTCAGGTGGATCGTCATCTTTCACACGACTGTCGCTCAAATCTAATTCACTGTCCGTTTAAGCATGTTGGCTGTCAACACCAAGTAAGTCTTCATTCATTTCCCACGCGATTTAGTTGTGAAAATAAAAATTTAGTTTCATAAAACTTTCCAGGTGATTTGCCATTCTCAACTATATAATTTTTCAGCTAATCAAACAGTGTAAATTATTTTCGAACTTCCCAGTAACTTAGCTTTAGCGGAACGCGCATATAAGGCCCCTTGACGTAACCACGTCAAGCTCCAAAAAACCCGGAAACAATCACAATTGCTTCTGAAGTGCGTTTTGGAAAACACAAAAGGTTCGAAAAATGTTACGAGGGTAATTGCAGTTTCATTATGGAAACAGCATTCTAAGTTCCTTGTCTGTTTTTTCGCAGTGTCCGCAACGAAGCCTTGCACAACATCTTGAAGATGGCATGAAGAAACATCTTGAACTCGTGTCACAGCTCGCTATTGATCAACAACAAGAGATCAACGAACTACGAGAAATTGTTAAACATTACAAACCGTTTACCGACAGTAAGCTTTACTGGCGAGTGGACGACTTTTGGAAGAAATTCGAAGACGCAAAACACAAAACCGGCGTGGAGTTGCACAGCCCGCCATTTTACACCAGTCCTTATGGGTACAAGTTTAAAATCGTGATGTTTCCTTACGGAAATGGCAGCGGCGAGGGGTCGCATCTTTCAATGTACGTTCGACTACTCCCAGGCGAGTACGACACGCTTCTAAAATGGCCTTTTGAAGGAGAGATCACTTTGTCGCTTTTGGATCAAAGTAGAGACCCGATCAGGGGCCAACGAAATATAAGCCAATCATTTAGCCCGGACCCAAACTGGAAGAGTTTTCAGAGGCCCAGTAAAAATGGCTCCACGCTTGGATTTGGTTACCCACAATTCGTGTCGCACCGAGGCTTGGAATCCACGAACTATGTAAAGGACAACTGCTTGTTCATCAAAGCAACAATAGACTGCAAATATTCCGCTGATTTTTAATATTAACATCTAATATTAACATTAACGCTGAAATTCTTAATGGATAAATTCTTATTGCATATATTCTTATTGGATATGATCGTATTGCATAAATTCTTATTCTAGGACGGACGAACTTAAATATGACATGAAAATATTGAAAATTCTAGGTTGCGACACTGTTTTCTTTTAGTATGCTTTTAATCGAGGAGTATATAATTGTAATAATCTGTTTGTATCGTTCAGAGGTATAAACTTTTATCACAGGACTTATTTTGTGTACAAACCCAGACTCACGCTTGCGCTTGCCAAAATATCAGACAAGAAATTTTTAAACATAGCAAATTTTTAAGCATATTTCCGGCTCGTTTTTAAGATGAATGTTTATCATGGAATTGAACCAACTATAGTCAAGGAACGAGTGCCCTGTTTGGCAGATCCCTAATAAGATAAAAAAAGACCCTTAATGTCTTTTATTACAATATTGACAAATTTAGCAGTCGCGTGAACACTGGAGAGTGCGGTTTAAAAAGATGTCAACTCGGACAAAACCGCTGTTTAGGATAAATGCTGATCCGAAATGGATCCATTTGCTAGCGGCTAGCTATATTATTAGTTAGAAAAAAAAACTGTTTTAGAATCGCTGTAAACAAAGAGATCACTGAATTTGCAACAGCACCAAGTTGAAATTAAGATTGCTGTGAAGTGCTTTTTAATGTTCTGTTGAATTTGAATTTATGCTGCTGCTAAAAATGTGCTTAGTCGAGTGGCGGATACAGAGACGCTACAAAATGGGAGGACGAGGTGAATTTCTTCGAAGAAGGTAGGGAAAGGGGGAGGAAGTGGGGGGGATTTCTTGGGTTAAAACGGGGGGTTCCGGTGTCCCCTAGATCCGATCCGCCACTGACTTATTGCACGTTTTGAGCGAAAGCGTTGAACTATACATGTACTGCATCCAACTCATTTAGTCCCATTCTCCCCGCTGATTGCCATTCTAGTCAGTTCAGTAACAAGAAATTAGCAGTACATCAACACAATATGGCCACGTCGATAATTTTCTTTACTCTCTTTACTTTCTTTATTGTCTATCTACCCCGATATTCCAAGGAGAAACTGGGTTTCGATCGATCAATGGTAACTCTAGTCCGTTGTACATGTAAAGTTCAACGTGTCAACGTTTTAGAATTTTTTTCTCAATTTAACATTTACTCTACATGATATTCTATTTCACTCTCTCTCTCTCTCTAAATGGTTTTACAGATACTACGCTTTTCTTGATCAAAAAGATTTAATAATTTAATGTAGAATTTGGACACTGCTATGCGGGTAAACTACGATGTCCGAGATGTTGGATTTATACGAATAAAAACGTTTATTGAACCTTTGACGGCTTGCTAGTTTGGTGATCAACTCAGAGAAAGAGCAACGATTTCACCAGATCAAATCACGGTCATTTAGCACACGTTCCCATTGAAGGGACGAGTGGTTCACGTAAGGAATCGAAAACGCAGTTAAAACTTACTTCAAATTTCATCTTCACATTGGACTTGTAGCCAGTCTCTTTTTACGGGTCAGATTGGATTGTTTCAAAGTGAAAGCGGTCTGGATCGACCCTTCCCATGACACTCCGCGCGCCTTAAATCACCATAGTAAGTATCCAATCTTCTCTTCCCCCAAAACACGTAAATAGCGACTGAGTACGAGTCTGTCTCCACTTCTCATTTGATTATAAAATTGAAAGGTAGCAGCCCCTTTATATTTCCATTCAGCTTGAGGTACGAGAGTGAGGGTAAACTTCAAAAAAAAAAAAAAAAAAAATAGGCACATAGTTCATTAAGGTAACATATCTTCATTTACGTTACGGAGCACTGGAATTACTGGAAGTTCCGGCTACATTCCAAGTTCTAAACTACACTAATTCCGACCTCTTTTTCACTCGTTGAATAGGGGATGGTATATCCATGAGGGTGGGAGGTCGGGAGCTTCCGTGTGTCCCTTTCGTGCCACAATCGGGAAACGAATTTCTTCCGATAATAAACGAATTAACCAGCAAATAGGCATATCATACATAGATCAACTTTATTTGAGTGTCTAAAATAATTAGCTTTTAAAGCCAATTGTGAACACTTAAATAAATAATTGTACAGTTTCATGCTGAAAAGAACGCAATGGTTGAGACATCTGAAGTGTGTGCATCAATGGCGAAGCCTTGTGACAAAGGATTTCGAACGGTTCATATGAACACTTTTTCATTATTAAATGCCCGGTTGAATCATAACACGAGCTAACATTCAAACGGTAAACAACGCTTTCTAACACCCCTTGGAGAACATCGAACCTTTAATTTACATTGCCTTGATCTTTTCTCATTTAAATAATATGGTATTCCCCTGAGCATTTAGTATTATTTCTCTTATATGGTAATGGTTCAAACAAAGAATCAAATTCCCAAAACGTTTCAACTGGCACCACATTGCAGCAAACAAACTTGGTTGGCGTCTTTCGGTGTGCTTTATTTTCAAAGTTCTCGTAGCTGAAAAACTGTAGTTGAAGCAGAACTTGTTCTAAAGTGCTTTGGCGGTCAAGATTTTCGATGCCAGGTGTGGTGTCGCAACTATTGCCAAAAGCGGAACGTATGTGTAGGTTGGTACATTTCGCTTAAGCGAAGAATGCAAACTACAACTCTCAAAAGCCATCGACGAAAGGGAGATAAGGTAAGAATAATTTTACTTTGGAATTCTTTGCTACATGTAGCACTATCAAATCATTATGTTCCTTTGCGAGGTAAAATTTGTCTATGTCAAATAATAGCGAACGAGCTGAAGATTCTGTCTCTCCACCCAATCTCCCCAAATAAGCGCGCTTTTACTGAGCCGTTACTGTTTCATGTACAGTTTTCTTTAACAATTGCTGGCTAATTTTTGTTTCAAATTGCTGCCAGATTCATCAGAGGAAACGAATTCAAGATGATGTTACCTGATCACAGGCATCCACATGCAATATTCATAGTAAGTGACTTCATTTCTTAAACTGTTGTTTTGGCTGTTCCACATGTCCCACTGATTATGTAAGAAACATAACCAACCTAGTTCCCAGGGCGTTTCTCTTAAATGTTGGGAGGGAAAAGTCCTGAGAACGAGGCTGAAACATAACATAACAACATGAAGTCTATGCTAGGTTTCAACGTCAGACACTGCGCACGTAGCAAGAGTCTTTTTAACAATAACTGTCTAATTTCTCGCGCGCTGATTGGCTCATTTTTATCATCAATAAGAGTACAGACATATATAAAAGTTTAATTTATGCAAGCTTTCAAGCTCAACTTTAAGCCGTCAAACTGTCAACTTTTAAAACAATGAGATTTTATGGCCTTTTTTTAAGTAGCCAATCAAAAAGCGAGAAAAGCTATTGCCACTGTTCGCGTCAATTTGAATAAAATTCACTTGTCTTTGTTTACGGCAAGTTTATGGCCTCTTTTCCCCTCATTAATTCCCGGCATTCGACCTTTCTGGGGTTTTGTTATTGTAAAACACAAATCAACGTCAGTTTTTTATGAGTCTGTCCTCTTTTTGATGATAAATTTCGTCATAACATTGACAAAGTTTCCTGCGGAACCACTTGTCTGCGGCTCGTGGTTCCACAGCCATTTTGACAATGTTTCAAGTCAAATGGAGGCTATTTGTATATTTCTATTGTGAAATGAGTAACTATGAATCCTAATAGATGTGGAGATCGTGTGAAGAGAACAAAACATTTCCTCGGTATACTTTTCAACGCATTCTTTTTCACAACTTGCTACGATCCCGGATGACCGGAAGTTGACGACATTCCTTCCACCAGGAAATTCGTCTCAGGTTCTCTGGGTTCTGCATGATCGCTTCGTGTAAGTTTTCGTGGGCCTGAAGAGAAAATAGTCCACAATGTTAGATTACCTTCAGTCAATCGATGAAGTTTAAGAAAATTGTCATTTTGACTTTTGGACCACTTTCTGTTGGGTTTGCAACTTTTCAGCCAATCAAAGCAATCAGAAACTGCACGCATATCTGGCTTCCTCCAAACTTCCCAAACTTTTCTTTTTCAGAGTTTCACTGTAAAATAAACCAAAACCCTTTGCTTTCCCTATGTTTATGGTCAGAAATCACTTCGATGGCAGCTGGACGTAAACGAAGGCAGTAAACGTCTGTTTTAGTCACCAACCTCAATTTCTTACTGCCACGCAATGTATGACGTACACGTCAGGTGATAAAGGGATCCACTTATCAAAGTTCGAACAGTTTTCAAGCATTCTAAATTTCGCGCCAAAAGGGTGGGAACAATGATGCAGCTCGTAGCGCGAGCGAAGTAGCTCTAGTCATCTTTCGAACACAATAAAATTTTCATATTTACGAGTCCAAACAAAACATCACATCCTGTTAGTGTTAACGAACCTTTCCATTACTGTGTCCAATGGGTGAATTGAGGATAAAATCTGGAGGAGCCAAGGCATCCACAAGAGCTACAGCCTGTTCTTTTAACTAAGAGAAATACAAACCAGAAGAAAGTTCAATAATGGAAAAACCACTTTTTGAGAAAACACTACTCTAGAAATGTGAGGTGTGAGGTGTCAAGTTTGAAATGCAGATGGAGTCCCCTTTAATGACAAGCGGACATCCTTCAAGGAATTGCTCTCTAAATTTTAATATAGTTGGATTCACATAGACTGAGAGAATGTTTGGCCCTATCGCTGCTAAGACATTTCAGCAAACCCAGACCAGAACACAGCACATACCTCGTAGCAGAGACTAAGGATAGTTGCTCTTACAATCCTGGCGTCGTTCGCTGAACAGCAGAAGCCGCCTATTACAAACCGGCAAAAAAACCTTCATTAGTTTGTACAAAGTTTAACTTCAGACACTTCGGAACTTAACTACTTAACTAACAGAAAAACTGATCCTACACGGAACGAGTTCGATTTCCATGGAAACGTCACTCGTCAAAAGTGCTCCAGCCAATCAGTACCAATATTCTGCCATCTCGACCAATCGGTTGAAAGTGAAAACTAATTGTTATTTTTGATTTTCCCTCGCTTGTCGCTGGCAATAAGCTTAACGGAGTTCTTTGATTGGTTTATTATTCTGTATGCAAGCTGTGATTGTTTTATTCAGGAAAGACTACCCTAAGAAAAACGTTTTCAAAAACGGACAGCAGTCTTCCACAGTGGTAACCTCACCTTGGTATAGAGTGGTGAGATGTGTCTCCAGAGAAGACAAGCCATACAAAGAACAAAGTCTAAGAAGAACTGGTTTTAGGGCTGGTGGAGTTTCATCCTCGTTGAAAATGGCTTCTTTAAATCTTTGCAAAACTGTGCACTGAAAAATAAAGTGGTCAGCATTAAAAAAGATGGGTCAATTGCCCTCCTAGCTGTTTTACGTTATAGATACAGCAGTTAAGCGCTGGCAAGGCTTTTTAGCCACTAGACTTCAAAAACGTTTTACTTTTTGAGCAGTAAAAAGTAAGAAGTTGGTCATTTACCTCAATGTAGGCTAGAGCCAGTGACCTGCAGTAAAACACTTGGCTATCATTCTTGGCTGTGAATGTATCCTTTAGAGGAACAGCAAAAAGATAAGCAACCTTGAGGGAAGCAAGTAGCTATTCTTTGGTTTGATCCTGTATGTTATACGTTAAACTTTTAGAGTATAGAGGCTTATCACTACGCCCCAGTCGTTGGAAATGCAAGTATCGCTAATTCAGGTTCAAATATTGACAAAGATGAATTATGAAACGAGTCATAAAACGTGATCCAATGTCACAGGCATGCAAAGCGTTTTTCGACATTTTTGCTCGGGCATGCGCAGAAATTAAAATTTCGAGCTTTTGGACGAGAAAGTGACCTTCCTCTTTAGGCTTTTCGGTTGTTTGTTCTTCTCCTTTTCTTATCTTTTCGCTGCAGTGATTGACCTTCTACTGGGCTTGCTTCCAGTTCAAAAATTTCTGAGAAAGCATGATCGAGACGGGCAATTTTTTCCACAGAGTAGCTAAGTGTAGTGGCGAGAAATTTTGCTGCGAGTTTTTCACTCAAATTTCTGAGCATTTTCGTGCATATTCCAGGCTCCATTGCGCCGATCACTCTGATCTGGGTATCATTGGAAAGATCTTTTCCTCCTGCAGAACGTGAGTACAGATGATGCCAATTTTGGTCAGAGGTCATGACGTCAGAAGTGGAACAAAGGCCAACGCTCGTCACGGCCGGCACAGGAGTCAATGGGTTAAAAACGTTTATATCCAGGAGCCATAATCGGGGACGGAGACCGTAAGCGCGCGCCATTTCTAGTATTGGGGTTGTCCCCA